TCCGCAGAGTCGAAGAAGAGAAACCACATAAACATAAATTTGTGGCACTCCGCGCGGATTGCTGGGATCCGCACCTGGGCCCCCGGCGGCGCTTCCGGCGCCGCCACGGGCGCGCTCCGCGCGCCAGGGAGGGGGGTCCAGCGCGAATCGAAGAAATACGCGCGGAGCGCCACAAGTTGATGTTCATGTGGTTTTTCTTCTTCTTCTTCTTCTACTGAAGTCTTGACCCTTTCCCCATGACCGGCTCTTTTCATCCTGAGCCGTCTTCTGACGGCCCTCGGGGGCCAGGCAGGGGCACCCGGAGGCCGGCAACGGCCCAAAACCTCGCGCCCTGATTTTGTCACGACGCAGCCTTGTCTGGACCCGTTTCTGTTCGTCGTTCCTCCTCCTCCTCTTCCTCCTCCTCCTCCTCCTCCTCCTCCTCCTCCTCATCATCATCATCATCATCATCATCATCATCATCATCATCATCATCATCATCATCATCATCATCATATTCCTCATCCTCATCCTCCTCCTCCTCCTCCTCCCCTAACCCCCTCCTCCTTCTCCTTCTTCTTCTCCTCCTCCTCCTTCACCTTCTCCTCCTCCTCCTTCTCCTTCTCCTCCTCCTCCTCCTCCTCCTCCTCCTGCTGCCCCATCGGGCTCTCAGCCGCTCGCAGCCTGGCTCAACCACCGGCTTGATTCCGCTTCATCCGGCGAGAGCAGGCCTGGTCGGGCCTGATATTGCGGCCTTTTTCTGGCGCGCTCCCGGGCATAATTTGGCCCGATCTGGCAGAATGGCCCCCCGAGTGGGGTCCAGCCGCCCGTGATCGCTCTCACGGACCTCCCAGGAGTGGCTTCCTGAGCCTCGGGCTCTCGGCCAGGCGCGTCTTCACTCTGCCGCAGGGGCTCTCGGGCCAGAGGCTGCCACTCTGCGCCAGGCCTCCGAGGCGCTCCTCCTCGCAGGGGATGCGCGGGCTCTTGTCTCTGCCCGAGCTGACGCCAACGACGAGAGCCCAGACGAAGCGTTGGCCCCTTGAAGGGGGCCTGCAGCCGTAGAGCTTAACCGCAAAAGGGCTTTCATGATGAACGCCCCCCTAAGCTGCCGGCCGGGGAACGGTCGCCCCTCCCCCCCCCCCGGCCCCTCTCCTCCTCGCCCTCCGCGCTCCTCCTCCTTGGGCTCCTCCCCCTCCTCGCCCTCCCCCCCGTCCTCCCCCTCCTCGCCCTCCCCTGCCTCTCGCCCTCCCCGCCTCGCCCCCCTCCGCGCCCTCCCCTCCCGTTCCTCCCCCCCCCCCCCCCCTCTCCTCGCCCCCCCCCCTCCTCGCCCTCCCCCTCGAGTAATTCGTGCCCTCGGGCCCTCGGCCGCTCGGCGCCGTCCTCTCGCCCGCGGCGCCCCCCAGGCGGTGCGCTACAGCGCGGAGCGGCCGCGGCCTCGGGCGCGCCTCGCGGCGGCCTCGCGCGCGGCCCTCGCGAGAAGCTCCGCCGCCCGGGGGGCGCGGGCGCGCGCCAGCGCCGCCCGCCGGGGGCCCCGCGGGTTGCGCGTCGAGCAGTGGCGAAGCGTCCGGGCTCGCTCATAGGCTGAAGTCGGGCGTGTCCCCCTGCAGGGGGATCTTCGACGGAAAAAAAGATACCCCCAAAATGGTCAAAACATAGTCCAAAAATAGTCGGGGGACTATGTTTTAGTATGGTTTGACTTTTTGCGGTACTTTTGGGGCATTTTTTTTCGTCGAAAATCCTCCTGTAGGGGGACAGGACCGACTGAAGTCAAGCAGTGGTGCAGCGCCCTGGCTCGCCCATAGGCCCACCAAACAATGTTCCGAGAAGCTCTTTGTGGGTTCCACGAGCTGTTCTTGGAGCACTTCTGGCTGGGACTATCTTTTGTTTTTGCACATCGGGTTAATGTCCTAAGAGCATTGTCGTTGTTATTCGATTATTTCTGGGTTCTAAAAACATTTCGTGGCAGGACTATAGGAATGCCGGGACGGTCGGTCCCTGCTCAAACAGGGGGGATAGGGAAAGGGGGGGGGTGCGACATCTGCTGCATGCAGGTGGTTTCAGCCCCACCGAGGGGCCCATTCCTCGAGACATGGCCGCCTCCGGCGCCGGGAGGCGCCGGGAGAAGCAGCTACGTGAGCTGATCTTCGAACCCCCCCTCCCTTTACTATCCCCCCCTTTTCGCCCGGCCCGAGTGGTGCGCGGAGACCGTGTGGCTTCGTTCGCTGGGCCCCCTCCTCGGAGGTTGCCAGACCTCCTCGGGCAATGAGCAGATCATGACGGACGGTTTTTTTTTATCGATTTTCGGCCTCCTGAGGCCCTTCGCGGCCCTCAGAAGCGTCCCAAAACGGCTCAGGGTGCAGAGCCGGTCATGGGGAAGGGGTCGGGACTTCTGGGGGTCGACGCAACGACAAAAATCATTACGTCGGGGGTCTGGGGAGGTTGCTGGACCTCCTACCTTGACGCGTCGATTAGCGAATTGGCCGCGTTCGGCTCGCGAGGGGGCGCCGCGGCTGTCATCTTTGCGGGTCCAGGTCCGTCGGTTTCGGTCCTGGGCCGTATTCACTAAATGGAGGTTTGCTAAGGGGAGGTTTGTCCACCGCCGACTCCCTCTTCCTTTTGCTTCAGGGGGGGAAGAGGTGCCGATGCAGCTGCCCTTGCCTCGTCCTCAAATGTCTGGGCCTCCTGGGAGGGCCTCGTCGCCACCGCTGGATTTCCTTCGAAGTTCTGGCCAGATTGCACGCCTGGCGAGGTCTGGGGTGTAGCGGTACTGGTACCTTTTGGTATCCCCCTCCTCCTCCTCCTCCTCCTCCTCCTCCTCCTCCTCCTCCTCCTCCTCCTCCTCCTCCTCCCCTCCTCCTCCTCCTCCTCCTCCTCCTCCTCCCTTCCTCCTCCTCCTCCTCCTCATCCTCCTCCCTCCCCCTCCTCCCCCTCCTCCTCCTCCCCCTCCTCCTCCTCCCCCCTCTCCTCCTCCTCCTCCTCCTCCTCCTCCTCCTCCTCCTCCTCCCCTCCTCCTCCTCCTCCTCCTCCTCCTCCTCCTCCCTCCTCCTCCTCCTCCTCCTCCTCTCCTCCCCCCCCTCCTCCTCCTCCTTCCTCTCCTCCTCCTCCTCCTCCGCCTCCTCCTCTCCTCCCTCCTATCTTGCCCCTTGCCTAGACAGGGGGCTCAGGGGGCGGTGTCCAAAGAGGAGCCCACTGATAGGATTTCGAGGGCTGGCCCATGCAGACTAACTGCCTTTTGTCACCCCACTTGGGCTTCCATCACCCAGGCAGGGGCCAGCGACAGGACCACCCCCAAACCCGCACTCAGAAGCCTGCTATTGGAGGCTCAAGGAGAGGCTCGGGCTCGGGCCATCTCTTTCCCATCCTCCTCCTCCTCCTCCTCCTCCTCCTCCTCCTCCTCCTCCTCACCTTCTCCCTCCTCCTCCTCCCACTTCGCTCCTGCTGCTGCTCCTCCTCCGCGCACTCCAGGGCACTGGGATCCAGTTGAAACTTACTCTGACGGTCGGGCCTGCTCTTTCCTTTTCGCTTTGCCAGAGGCCCGCCTCCCGCCCTCTGTTTCGTCTCCTCCTCATCCTACTCGTCCTCCTCCTCGTTCTCCTCAGCCTCCTCCTCTTGCTTCTCCTCCTCATCCTCCTCGTCATCGTCGTCCTCCTCGTCCTCCTCGTCCTCCTCGTTCCTCCTCCTTCTCGTCCTCCTCGTTATATTTCTTCTGCTCCACCTCCTCGTCCTTCTCCCCCTCCTCCTCCTACTCCTGCACCTCCTCCTCGTCCTCCTCCTCCTCCACTTTCTTCTCCTCATTCTCCTCCACTTTCTCCTCCTCTTCCTCCTCCCCTCACCTCATTCCTTTCTCGCCTGCTCTCCCGATGCACCTCCTTTGCCGTCTGGCCGGGGCCCGCATCTCAAGGTTCCTCGGCGCGTTCGCCGCCACGTCCGGCAAAACGGCGCGTTCGCCGCAGGCCAGGCCGCGAAGCCGTTGGGACAACCCCGCGGGCCAGGCCGTTGGCACAACCCCGCGGGCCGTTCGGGCGCGGGAGCAAGCCTGTTTTTCCCCCTGTTCCTCCACCTCTTATTCCTTCTCCCGCTCCTCATCTCCACCCCGTCTGTTCTCCTTATGCACATGTCCGTCTTTTTCTGTCGGGGCACGCATGTCCATGTTCCTCAGCGCATCCGCCGCCACGTCTGGCAAAACGGCGCGTTCGCCGCAGGCCAGACCGCGACGCCGTCGGGACAACCCCCGGGCCAGGCCGTTGGCACAACCCCTCTCGTGGAAAGCGGCTCCCTCTCGTGGAGGGCGGCTCCCTCTCGCGGAGGGCGGCAGGGCGGCTCCCTCTCGTGGAGGGCGGCTCCCTCTCGTGGAGGGCGGCTCCCTCTCATGGAGGGCGGCTCCCTCTCATTGGAGGCGGTTCCCTCTTGTGGAGGTTCGGGCGCGGGCGCAAAAGCCGTCGGGACATCCCCGCGGGCCTGGAGGTGGGCGCGGCCGCGCTTCAGGCGGGAGGCAGCGCGAAGCCGAGCTCCGCCGCGAGCTGCGCCGCCTCGGCCCTGCCCGCCCGAGACTTCCTCGCGACCGCTGAGGAGGAGGCGGAGGAGAAGGATGAGGCGGAGGAGGAGGAGGCGGAGGAGGCGGAGGAGGAGGAGGAGGAGCACGAGGAGGAGGAGGAGCAGGAGCAGGAGCGGGTGGAGGGGGGGAGGGGTCGGTCGCGTCAGGCTTCGCGCCAGCGCCGGCTGAGAATGCTCACGATTGGCTCATTTGCAAACGGCGCTGGCGTGAATCGTGACATGAACCAGGGGGGCGGGGCTCGGGCCGGGCGTCCGAACCAACCCTGATGCCACCGCGGGGCGCAGCTTCGAAGCGTTGAGGGAAAGCCGGCGGAGGCCTTCCCTGGGGTGCGGCTCCCCCGTCCCCTACCCCAGCTCGGCTGGGGGCGCGGCCCAGCCTGCGGGGAGAGGCGGGGGGTGAGAGAAGGCATCGGCGCGATGGCTACAGACTGTCTTTGGTACTGAGCCGAGGCCAGGGCGGCCAGAGCATGGGGACGCCCAGCCCAGAAGTTGCCTATCAACTGCCGCCGCCAGCGCCACCGCCTCGGCATAAGCGGGAGGTCCCCGGCCTGGCACCCAGCAGCGCCCTCGCGCTGTCCTCCTGGGACTCCGACCGCGCCTGCGCCCGCGCCGCCCAGAAGGCAACCTGGCCCGCCTTTGTCCACGGGCAGCCGCTGCACGCGTGGAATGAGAGGCTGCGCCACCGCACGCCGCATAGCGCGCACGAGTGCACTGCTGCCCAGGACCGGCGCCGGTTAATCTGCCCCAGGACGAGCAAGCCCGCCCGCCAACGGCTGATGGACCGCATGCCCTGCAGCTCATCCCAGCTGAGCTCGCCCTGGAAGGCGGCTGCGAGGTCCCGCGTTGGCCCCGCGCACAGCGAGAGAAGTGGGACGGGGCGTACCTTCCGTTGAGCGGAAGATAGGGACAAATCGGAACCAGAGATTCTGGGAGAGTTCCAAAGAAAAATAGAACGCCGAATTGCGGAGCGCCTTGCGCGCATTCGCAGAAGTCCCCCAAGGACTGTTCGAGGGCCTGAGGAGCCCAAGTAACACATGGGCGCTCAATTAAACTGTTGAGGGCGGGCAGAAAAGTTGGCGTGCACGAGCATTGGGAGCGGGTGCGCGGCTTGCACGGGGGGCGCAGTAGGTTTGCGTTTCAGGGACTTGGGCGCTGGCCGATGCGTTGATGGGGGGCCCGAGAGTGCGTCCTACATATTACGCCTGTGGCGCCATGGAGGCCGCATGTGCGGTTGCAGTGGGGCGGGCGCCCCGCCGCGCGCACCGCGGCGACAGCTCTCTTGGGCGCCCGCCCGCCGCCGTGGACGCAGTAGGCCCAGCTAGTCTCGCGGTCGGCGCGCGGCGGGTCGGCCGCCACGACGCTGGCGGCCTGAATGCTTCGAAAGTGTTTCTCCCCGAGCCCAGGGCTATTGTACGTTTTCGGCGGCGCGCGCAGCTCGTAGAAGAATCGCCGTGTCCGTCGGCGGCCAGTTGGCTGTCGTCGCGCAGAAGTACCGGCGGATGGCGCGGTCCACGCTTAGCGCAGAGAGCGTGTCCATGAGCGTGGACTCGTCGATGGGGCAGGAGGACCTCGTGGTCGGGACCATCGCGGCCCGCGATGTCCACGGCCCCCACCCTGGGCGAGCGGGGGCCTGCTGGGCGCCGCCGCAGGCCGATTTCAGAGAATCTCGGAACCAGAAATCCGGGCGCGCCAAATTTCGCGGGCCGAAAAACACTCAGAGAGTTTCGGCCAGCTCCGAGGTTTTGGGTTAATGGGAATATTTCGCGCGGGGTGGCTAGTTCAGAGATTTGTTTCAGAGATTCTCAGAGAAGTTCGGGCGCGAGAATTGGGCGCGCCCCGGTTTCTGGTTCTGCGAATCTCTGAAAAGCGGTTCCTCAGGTTTTACCGGATCTCCAGGCGTCCTACTGTCATCCAGAGACGAGCGTTTGGCTGGCGCCGCGCCCGATGCTTTCAGAGTTGCGAACTCGGTTCTCGATTCCCTGGGGCCCGCGGGCCCCTGGGCCAATCGCGAGGTTGCCGAAGCCCCCGGGCGGTTGCGCGCGATTGTCTCCGAAACCGGAATTTGGCATCCATGGTGGACGCCCGCGCGTACGCGGTAGGTGCCCGCGAGATTATTCGGTGGCGGATATTGCATGGTGCGGGGGCCTTCCAAAGACTTTCCGGGGTTTTCTCTATGGTTATTTCGGCGCGCTTCGGGAGCCCTGGGGCGGCGCGGGGAAGTCGTCAGGCCGCGCGCGGGCCTTTTTCGCAATGCCTTCTTGGGCATTCTCGCGGTGTTGCGTGGCCGAAGAGGTCACTGAGTACTGCGCTTTTTGACATTTGAGCGTGTTTTTCGCTGCGTTGGTTGCGTGATTGTTTTGGCGGTCCGCCTCTTTCGGGCCCCCTTGGGGCCTCAAGTTTGTTTTGTTGACGTCGGGTCTTCTGGGGTGAAAGGCGCTTGGCGCTGAACTTCCCCTGGGCGTGCGCGTGGCCAAATACGCGCCGTGGCCCCATCCGCGCCGGGGCGCATTTTTTCCCTCGCGAAGCCGATGGTGCCCAAGGCGTGGCAGGCCCGGTCGGCGGCGCCCCCGGTGATTTGAAAAACCGAGCATGATTTTTATACCGGTCAAATTTTGCCCCGATCCGGGCTTCATCTTATACCTGCTGGCGTTCCCTGGCCTGCCGTTCCACGAGGCACTGGCGCGAGACCGCGGACGCGACTTCCGCGAGGAGGCTTCGCGCTGCTCCCCCAGGCAAACACGGGACCAGGCCGGCCAGTCGTCCGCGCCCTAAGTTGCAGGGGGGACGAGGACGAGGACGAGGACGTGGACGAGGACGATGAGAAGGAGGAGGAGGCGGAGGCGGAGGAGGAGGCGGAGGAGGAGGAGGAGGAGGAGGAGGAGGAGGAGGAGGAGGAGGAGGAGGGAGGAGGAGAGAGGAAGGAGGAGGAGGGAGGGGGAGGAGGAGGAGGAGGAGGAGGAGGATGGAGGAGGAGGAGCGAGGAGGAGAGAGGAGGAGGAGGAGGAGAGGAGGAGGAGGAGGAGGAGGAGGAGGAAGGAGGAGGAGGAGGAGGAGGAGGAGTTGGAGGAGGAGGAGGAAGAGAAGGAGGAGGAGGAGCAGAAGGAGCAGAAGGAACAGGAGGAGCAGGAGGAGCAGGAGGAGCAGGAGGAGCAGGAGGAGGACGAGGACGAGGACGAAGACGAGCACTGTCTGTACCGCCGCGCCCCGCGGCCCGGCACGAGCCGCGCTCGTGTCGGGGGGTGGCCTGCCGCGGAGGCGCCCGTTCTGCCCGAGCGCGCTCGCGGGCCGCTCGGGCCGGAGGCACCTTCGGGCCCTCGCAGCGGCGGGGGGCCCCAGGGCCGTGCGGTGACGGACCTCGCCCTGCTCCTCCTCGCCCTGGGAAGGGAGGGGGAGGGGGGAGAGAGAGAGAGAGGGAGAGAGAGGGAGGGAGAGAGAGAGAGAGAGAAAGCAACAACAACAACAACAACAACAACAATCATTTTACCCGAACGCTCAGTGTTCTCACCAGTGCCAGGGTTTTCATGCGACGCGAGACAATACCCCCACTTCGTGGGGGGGCAGTTCAAGCTCTACCAAATATCCAAACGACTCTTCGCGACCACCCAAACCCAGCTTCCCGCCCTATGACGTTGGGACACTTCACTTCGTGGCGTGCGGACGACCGTGGCTACTACACTGGCGTGGGGTACACACCCACAGAACTTGGTCACTTATTCGGGGCGCGCGTGTGCCCAGCATCCTGCAATTGTGACATACAATACATGACACAGACAGACAGAGAGAGAGACAGAGAGCAGACAGAGAGAGAGACAGAGAGAGCGGAGTTGGTCACATTTTTGGGGCAAGTTCCTGAGATCGTCGTGTTTTTTGTTGGTCTTGCGCGCGCGAATGTCCACTTTACTTTTTTTTGCAAGGGAATTGAAATTTGATTATGTTAGAACAAGAAAAAGTAGCTCGCGCGAGCTCATGTAACATAAATGTTGAAAAACCATTGGTTTTGTGGGAGTCGGACAGCGCGCGCGGGATGAAATTTGGACATTTTTTTTTGAAAAACCATTGGGTTTTTGATGTTTTTATGTTGAAATCGTTACGAAACCTAAGGTTCTGGAAGGATTTCGTCTTGCGCGCGCGAATGTCCACTTTACCTTATTTTTTGCAAGGGATTATTGAAATTTGATTATGTTAGAACAAGAAAAAGTAGCTCGCGCGAGCTCATGTAACATAAATGTTGAAAAACCATTGGTTTTGTGGGATTCGGACAGCGCGCGCGGAAGGACATTTTGACAATTTTTTTTAAAAAACCATTGGGTTTTTGATGTTTTTATGTTAAAATCGTTACGAAACCTAAGGTTTTGGAAGGATTTCGTCTTGCGCGCACGAATGTCCACTTTACCTTATTTTTTGCAAGGGATTCTTGCAATTTGATCAAGTAAGAACAAGAATTTTCATTTTATAGTGTTTTTTGCAAGGGAAAACGAGCGTCAACAAAAAACCGGATCCGGACCTCATCCACTTTTCTGAAGCTTTCGCGAAAAAATGATGAAAATGTAGCTGCGGCCTAGGCGCGGCGCAGAGGTCGCGCACCAGGGGTCCCAACAATAATAATTCTTTAGAAGGAATAATATTCAACAACAACAACAACAACAACAACAACAACAACAACAACAACAACAACAACAACAACAACAACAACAACAACAACAACAACAACAACAACAAAAAAAAAAGAGAGAGGGAGAGGGGGGGGCGGGGGCGGGAGCAGAGGGAGAGGAGGGAGAAGGGGGGCGAGGAGGAGGAGGAGGGGAGGAGGAGGAGGAGGAGGAGAGAGGAGGAGGAGGAGGAGGAAGCGGCATCGAGGTGGGAGGCGAGCAGCGGGCAGGAGGGAGGAGGAAGGCGGGGGCACGGGGCGGGCGGGCCACGGCCTTTTGGGGGGGGGGGCGGGGGGCGGCACTCCGGGGACGCGCGGAGACGAGCCGAGGCCAGAGCGGCTCGCGGAGCTGCAGGCCGGCCCCCGCCAGGGCCGCCGCAGCCGTCGTCGTCGTCGTCGTCGTCGTCGTCGTCGTCGTCGTCGCCGTCGCCGTCGTCGTCGCCGTCGCCGCCGCTGTCGCCGCCGCCGTCGCCGTCGCCGTCGCCGCCGCCGCAGCCGTCGCCGTCGTTGCCGTCGTTGCCGTCGTCGTCGTCGTCGTTGTCGCTCAGCGCCCACCAAACTACCCCAACCAAGCCCGAAGGCCCCGATTCGCCCTCCATTTCCAGTGGGGGAGGGGGTCGGGGAACATTGAAAAATACAGGGAACCCGTACCCCCCCCAACCCGAAATTCGGGTCAAATTCTTTACGCTTCGCGTATCCCCACCAGCCCATCTCAAAACAGCAACTCTTGCGAAGCATGCCGACAGTCGTGTTTTTCAGGCGTGTGTCCGCTTGCCCCCGCATATCTCCCCTGTTCCTCCTTCCTCCCGCCTTCTTGTACATCCTCCTTGTGGTGGGAGCGGGAGAAGGACGAGGCGGAGGAGGAGGGAGAGAAAGCGCTCCTCGTGGTTTGAGTCGTTTGGGGTTTCTCGTCCTGGTGTGAGTCGTTCGGGCCCTTCTTCCTGGTGTGAGTCGTTCGGGCTCTTCGTGGTGTGAGTCGTTCGGGCTCTTCGTCCTGGTGTGAGTCGTTCGGGCTTCTCGTGGTGTGAGTTGTTCGGGCCCCTCGTCCTGGTGTGAGTCGTTCGGGCCCCTCCTCCTGGTGTGACTCGTTCGGGCTCCTCGTGGTGTGAGTCGTTCGGGGCCCTCGTCGTGGTGTGAGTCGTTCGGGCTCCTCGTGGTGTGAGTCGTTCGGGCGCCTCGTCCTGGTGTGAGTCGTTCGGGCCCCTCCTCCTGGTGTGAGTCGTTCGTGCTCTTCGTGGTGTGAGTCGTTCGGGCCCTTCGTCCTGGTGTGAGTCGTTCTTGGGGGCCTCTTGGCGGCCCCAGGGGCTTCTAGGAGCGTCGTGGGTGCCTTGGGGGAGCCTCTTCGGGCCTCTTGGGAGCCTCTTGGGGGCCTCTTGGGGGCATCTTGGAGGCCTCTTGGGGCCTCTTGGGGCTCTTTGGGAGGGGTCTGGGAGGTATCTTAGGGGCCATCTTTCGGGCGATCGATCACAGATGGGGCGGGTTTTTTTCTCCACCCCCCCGTCGTGGCCAGAATCCTCGTGAGGGGTGCCGTTTTTTAGCCTTCCCAGGAGTCGAAAAAGACCCCTCCAACCACCCGCGAAAGGACCTCTCCAGGTCCAGGGGGAGGGGCTAGGGGGAGGGGTAAACCCCTCCCAAGAAGGGGAAGAAAGGGGTTTAAGACAGAGCGGGCTCTCTAAACCACTCACGCCCAAAGGGCTGGTGGGATTCTGGTCTTCGGGTTGGGTTGGGGTTGCCTGGTAGGTCGCCAGTCGCGTCGTCGTCGCCATCGCCGCCGCCGCAGCCGTCTTCGTCGCCGTCGTCGTCGTCGTCGTCGTCGAGAGGATCCCGTTTGGGCTCGAGCTGCTTTTGCTTGAGCTGGCTGCAGCGCCGACTGCCTTCTCGCCATGACTCAGTACTGTTCCCTGTCATGCCTCCCGCTTCTCGTTTTTAGAAAATCCTAGTTTTGTGATCTGCCCCGCTTCGAGGCTGCGATCTCTACGCGACAACCTAGACATTTTAATTCCTTGTTTTAAAAAGGTCCTTATACTGTACTCCCTGTAACTCTCTGGACGCCTGCCCGCTGACCCGACGAGAGGGTGGTTTGCTTCGTCTGTCTCCCCTCTGGCTGGAGCGAGAGCGAGCCGTCCGCCGACGCGCGAGGCATGCGGTTCTCTCCGTGCCGCGGCGGGCCTCGACGCGCCGCACCCCGCGCGGAGAGTTCGGGGCACCCTGCCTGTCGAGTCGGAGCCCTGCGTCGGTCAGAGGCCTGGCGAACCGATACAGTCAAAAGCGCGACTTTGCTCAGGGTACCCTTTGCGCCCTTGGGCTTCCTTGCTCTTGCGGCTCGTCCTTGGCCTCGCTCGCCGCCCCGAAAGTCCCAACTTTGGCTTCCAAGGGTCTTGCGTTCTTACCCCGCGTCCTTATTAGGGTTTTTGACTGTACGACATCCGGGAGGAAGGGGTCATCTAGGTCAGAGCGAGGGGGCTGAACGGTCATGCATTGTCCCTGGGTGCGTGGCTGAAGTGAGAATGCGTGGTGAGGATTCTGCTTGTTGCGTCGCTGCTGTTGCTGTTGCTGTTGCAGTTGCTGCTGTTGCTGATGCTATTGCTGTTGCTTTTGATGTGGTTGTTGTGGTTGTGGTAGTTGTAGTTGCAGTTGTTGTTGATGATGCTGTTGGTGGTGTTGTTGTGGAGGTTGTTGCTTTTGTTGTTGTGGTGTGTTGTTGTTGTTGTTGTTGTTGTTGTTGTTGTTGTTGTTGTTGTTGTTGCTGTCGAACATTATTTCTTCTTAAGAATAATTATTGTTGGGGCCCCTGGTGCACGCCCCCCCAGACGCGCCTAGGCCGCAGCCACGTTTTCATCATTTCCGTGAGGAAGCCTCAGGTAAAACGATGTGATCCAGATCCGGTTGTGTTGTTACGATCGGTTTTCCCTTGCAATAAATAAGCTAAAGTGGACATTTCTTGTTCTAACATATCCAAACTTCAAGAATCCCTTGCAAAAAATAAGGTAAAGTGGACATTCGCGCGCGCAAGACGAAATCCTTCCAAAACCTTAGTTTTCGTAGCGATTTTAACATAAAAACATCAAAAAACCAATGGTTTTTCAAAAAAAATGTCAAAATTTCATCCCGCGCGCTCTTGCGGATTCGTAGGAAACCCAACACTTTTTAAACATTTCTGTCAAACGGGCTTTTGCGAGCAACTTTTTCGAACTTCTGCAACAACGGTTGCGCACCTGCCAGGGCCATCATCCCTGTCAAATAATACCATGCGGGACACATTCGTTTTTTCTTCGCGCGCGCACGCCGTCGTCGTCGGCCGCGGGGCCCTGAATAGTAGCCACGGTCGTCCGCATGCCACGAAGTGAAGTGTCCGAACGTCATAGGGCGGGAAGCTGGGTGTGGGTGGTGGCGAAGAGTCGTTTGGAAATTTGGTAGAGCTTGAACCGGCCCCCCCACAAAGTGGGGGTATTGCCCGCCTCCTATGAAAACCCTGGCACTGGTGAGAACGGAGTGTCCCCACGTGCTAGTAATTGTTGTTGTTGGTGTTGTTGTTGGTTGCTGTTGGTTGTTGTTTGTTGTTGTTTGTTGTTGTGTGGTGGTCGTTGTGTGTTGTTTGTTGTTGGCGTTTGGTGTTTGGTGTTTAGTGTGTGGTGTGGTGTTGTTTGTTGCTCGTGTTGTTTGTTGTCGTTGTCCCACCCGCGACCCACCCCGCGACCCACCCCGCGACCCACCCCGCATCCCGCCCACGACCCACCCGCGACCCACCGCCGACCCACTTGCGACCCACATTGCTTTCACAAAGAAATCGGCGCCTACGGCGGGATCGTTTTATAGCTCGAACAATTCTGCGCCTGCGGCGGGCTTCTTCAGAACCTCGCAGACTGCCGACGTACCCGCCGCCCCCTTACTCTTATCCGCAACTGCGGGGTGCTATATTCAGTATCGTTGAATCGATCCCCATCCCCATGCTCATCCCCTTCGAGACCCCCACCCAATTACACTCCCAGTTATGGATACACCCCTCGAAACCCGAAGAATACGACCTATATCCCCATCTAGGCGGGTAAATCGGCCAGTGGGGCACAACCCACGATTAAACGATACTCAGACAGGCGAGTACGTGCAGATGTGCCTACATGCATCTCGGGTTGGGACCGCGTAGTGGGTTCCCGGACGGGTGCATGGAATGGAAATCCCGAATCCTACGAGGGCCCATTAGGTCAAGCATGCTGTCCAAACAAAGGAGCGGTGCTTGCTAGCCTCGACGGCGTCATGTCATATACCACCTCCGATGTTCAAACACCCTGGGACACTGGAGTATCGATGCTGTGCCTGAACGACGAGTGGGTTGAGCTTGCCTGTTTCCTGCGTGCCAGCCCTGCATTTCTCGCCTCCACCTCGTGGCTACTGGGACCGCACCTCGTGGCGGATCGGGAGCGGACGATCGGAGAGCTACCGATTTCGATCTACACCTTAGGCGATGCTTAAGAAAACCCAAGTTTTCGGCCAGAGTCTCGATTATTCTCAACGTTTCAGTGTAAATCCCAAGATTTTGATAGAAGTTCTGGGTTTTCACTCCAGTTCTGAGACTCTGAATTTCTTAACCCATGATTTCTTAAGCATTTCGCAGGGTGTATCATGTGTGTGGTGATGGTTCAGGCAGCTAGTGGAAGCGGGTTGACCTGAGATGGTGGCGGCGGGGGGGGGGAGACGGAGGCTGCAGGAGGAAGTGTCCTCGGAGGGTCCCGCAGGGCCCCCCCGAGTTTTCCACCGCGAGCCCATGAGGTGCACGAGGGGCGCGCGCATTTCATCACCCCGCGTGTACTGCCCCGCCTGGGATTCGGCAGCAACTCGTGGGTGCCTGGTATACCGTCTAAAGTCCGTCTTGCGCGTCGGTTGGCGTTTGGAAGTCGGTGCGACAGCGTCGATGTAGCGTCGGATAGCGTCGATCTAGAGTCGATCAGCGTCGATTTCGCGTCGATTTAGAGCCGATGTGCGTCGACTCGCAAGAGTCGACAAGACAGCATGGGAGGCTCCCATGAGTTGCCACCGAGGCTTGTCACGAGCACCCGAGGTCCGCCCTCCTCCCTCCTCCCTCCTCCCTCCTCCCCCCCGCCCATCATGCAGGTCCAATGGCAAAGAATCGCTTTTGCCTGCGGACGGACCAGGAGCGGAGATCCTTCGTTGCGCCCGCTAGGCGGGCTCTGTCTGCCGCCTAGCCGACCTTCGGCCGCCTCGCTCAAGCTACTTGCAACGAGCTAAGTGCAGTCAAAAAGCCTCCCTCCTCCCTCCTCCCTCCTCCCTCCTCCCCTGGTAAACAGGGTCTCGGGCAAGACTCGGATCGGAGGCTCCTCTTGGCCTGCTGCCCCCTGGGGGCCGCCTCCGGGCCCCCGAGCCGACACGGGGCGACGTGGAAGGGGTCGGGACGTTCGGGGGGCCCGGGGCGAGCAGATGGGTCACCGGATGTTTGGGGTCGTCCTCCCCCTCCTCCACCTCCGCCTCCTCCTCCTCCGCCTCCTCCTCCGCCTCCTCCTCCTCCCACTTCCTCCTCCTCCTCCTCCTCCTCCCACTTCCGCCTCCTCCCTCTCCTCCTCCTCCTCCTTCTCCTCCTCCCACTTCCTTTGCTGGTCCTCGGCGGGCTCGCGTGGAGCCCCCAGGAGGGGAAGCGGATTTTGCCCCCGGACGGGCTCTCTTGAGGCGGTGCGCTCCTCCTCCCATTTCCTCTTCCTCCTCTTCCTCCTCTTCCTCCTCCTCCCCCTCCTCCTCCTCCTCCTCCTCGGTAGTCGTCGCCGCCAGCCCCGCTGTCGTCGCGGAGCGCCCGGGCCCGACCACCCAGAGGTGCTCTTGGGGCCTCTGGGGCCTCCTTGTTCGACCCCGCTGGGGGGCGGTCGTGGCCTCGTCCAGGCGCCACCTCGGCATGCGCCCCAGGTCGGGGCGGCCCCGGGGCCATCGGCGAACGGGCCGCGTCTCTCGAGGCAGGCTTCGGCGGCATCTTGGCATCGCTCGGAAGTGTGCATTTTTCTTTTGGCGAGGAGCATCGAGGAGCATCCTTGATCATTTGGCGAAAAAGCCACGCACGAAACCGAACAAAACACAGGGAATGGACGTCCGAGCGATGGCCAGCCATTGCCCTGCCCGACATCCGACTGTGCGAAGAGAGAGAGAGAGAGAGAGAGAGAGAGAGAGAGAGAGAGAGAGAGAGAGAGAGATCTACGCCATGGTAAAGGGATGGGAGGGAGGGTTGGGGCGTCAGGCATGACGCGAGCGCACCTGGCTTGCCTTCTCCCCTCCCCGTCTCCCCCTCCACCCCCCTCCCTCGCTCGCTGTCTCTCCCTTCTTTTCGGCGGCGAGCGAGGAGGGGGAGAGTGCAAAGGAACAGGCCTTCTCAGAAGTCGGCGGGACTTCTCAGAAGTCCCCGCGTCCTCTGGCAAGTGTTCTGCTTCTTCGGGGAAGTCATGGGACACTTCTCGGAAGGCTGGGGGACGTCCGAGCCCTCCGAGAAGGCCCGCTCCCGTCTCACTTCGGGCGAGCGGGGGGGGAGGGGCCCGGAGGAACGGGGCATCACGCCCCTGGCCCGCCCCGGGCCCCAGGGGCGGGCTTGGCCAGGGAGATGCGCCTGCACCGTGCCCGGGCCCAGGATGGGCCAGGCCTGGGGCACATGGGGTGCGTGCAGGCCTCGCTGCCCCGCCTCGCCCCCGGCCGCTCTGCACTCCGCCCCGGCGCCCCAGCGAGAGCTTCTGGAGGTCTCGCCGCGCGCCTCCTCGTGGACGCGGGCCGGAGTGAGCCGAACCCCAGATCTCCGAAAAAACACAGACACGTATGCACTCAAGTATGTATACATATATATATATATATATATATATATATATATATGTGTGTGTGTGTGTGTGTGTGTGTGTGTGTGTGTGTGTGTGTGTGTGTGTGTGTGTGTGTGTGTGTGTGTGCGTGCGTGTGTGTGTGTGTGCGTGTAGAAGATTCAGTCCCGGAGTGTTTCCCCGAGCTCGACCGCGACTTCGGAGTCGGAGCCCGGGGCAATGAGGCACGGGTGGCAGGCGAAGAGCTACTGCCCGCCCCCCCAGAAGTGGCACGGGGACGTCCCCGGGGGCTTGGCATCGCTCGGACGTGTGCATGTTTCCTTCGGCGAGGACCATCGAGGAGCATCCTGGATCATTTCGCGAGAAAACCACGCACGAAGTGGAAACAAGCACAGGGAATGGACGTCCGAGCGATGGCCAGGGGGCCGCGGGCGGGAACTCGAAAAAAGGTCGGGTCGGCGGCGCCAGGGGAGAGCAGAGGCGCTCTTGTCGAGCTTCCCCCGGGCAGTGCATTGCGCTTCGAGGCCCGCGCCCGTGCTCCCGAGGAGCTCGGGGCGTCCGCCGAGGCCTCGCCGCGGTGCCGCCCCGTTGCCGCCGCGGTCGTGGGGGGTTCCGCCGAGGTCTCGCCGCGTGGCCGCCCCGTTGCCGCCCGCCGCACTCGGGGGGGGTCCCCCGCGGCCTCGCCGCGTGGCCGTCTCGCGGCGGCCTCGTTGGCGCCCGCCGCGCTCGGGGGCTTCGCCGAGGTTTCGCCACGTGTTGCGGCCGTTGCCGCCCTGCTGCCGCCGCGGTCGTGGGGTCCGCCAAGGTTTCGCCGCGTTGCCGCCTCGTTGCTCCTTCCCACTCCACATTGTTTGCACCATGTAACTCCAGAGGTTCTTGAATGCTGCTGGTGACCTCCCCACCAGAGCCCTGGGCTGGCAATCGAAGTCTTTCCCCTCATCGTCCTTCCCCTCATCATCATCATCATCATCATCATCATCATCATCATCATCATCATCATCATCATCATCATCATCATCATCATCGACAACAACAACATCAACATCAACAGCATCATCATCGTCATCATCATCAGCAGCATCAGCATCATCATCGTCGGCATCATCATCGTCATCGTCAGCATCAGCAGCAGCAGCATCAGCATCAGCATCAACATCAGCATCAGCAGCATCAGCAGCATCAGCATCAGCATCAGCATCGTCATCATCGCCGTCACCACCATCACCATCATCACCGTCATCATCAGCATCATCATCTCTCTCCCCCGATCTCAGCGGTGGCTGCCGCCAGGGAATGCACACTGTCCGAGTATTGCTGGGGGGTCCAATCCGTCATGAAGCCCGCGTCAACAAATAGGATGCTGTATCTCGTTTCTGGAGGAGGCGTGGCAAAGACCCCTCTCGGTGGACTTGCACCGTGCAGTTTGTAAGCTAGCACCAACCAGCTCACATGGCATAGCTTGCACCGCCTAGCTTGCACCGCATACCTTGCTCGGAAGCCAGGCAAGGGCTGCTAAATCCGTGGCTGCTAAAATCGACCTCTGGGAAGTTGTCTTCGAACCCCGTTGACTGTTTCGCGTACCGCGCCTCATTCCGGGAAGTTTTTTTTGGGGGGGAGGGCCGTTTTAGCAGCCACGGTTTTAGCAGCCCTCGCCCAGCTTTCGACTTGCACCGCACACCTCTCGCCACACAGCTCGGGCATCCACGGTGCACCTGCTTGGTCTCTGGGGTCCACGCTGGCACCACTCGTCGCCGTCCCAGGGCTCCCATGGGCGGGGCCCTTGGTCGGCCCTCGAAACGACGGGGCCGTTCTTGCAGCCTTCCTATGCTTCTCGCGTAGCGTCGTTTCTTTCCAGTTTCCAGGAGTTCCATCTCCTCACTTCACGGGGGCAACCTTGAGAATGGAATTGAGGACACTGATCTTCGTGGTATTCCATGCTCTCCTGCATTGTAGGTGCAGTGTTCATCAGGGGGCACTGTGGATCTGTGACCATGGTTGTTCCAAGAGATCTGTTGAAGGTTTCGACCTGATTATGGTGACGCCAACCTGGCGCTAGGCAAGCGGCGCCATGTTCATAGCAACGATTTTGCCAGATACCCTCATACTCGATACTTCTCCTTCTGCTGCTCCCATCCCCTCCTCTCACGCCCTCGACGTCGCCGAGACTGACCCCTTCGGCGTCAGTCTCGGTGACCCGACCTCTGTGTTTGCACTCTGCTTTTCCCAACCGGGTGCAACTACAGGGCTGTGTTGCCCAGCTGCGGGCCCAGAGACATCCGGGAGTCTTGGGCGCTGTGAGCGGCCTGGGCAAAAACGATTACGGAGACATGCAAGGTACGATTGACTGGTATGCTGCATCTGCGCCTCTTCTCTCCAAGGGGGTACAGCAGCAGCAGCAGCAGCAGCAGCAGCAGCAGCAGCGGTCCACGCCGTCCACGTCGGTGCCGCTCGGGTGGTGTCTCCGCTCCGTCTGCGCTGGGGTCGCTTCGATTCCGATTCGATGCCGATCCGATTCGGGCAGAAACGTTCGGCTTCGATTCCGATCCGGCTTGCAGTTTCCGAATTGAGCCGATGCGGCGACCGCCGATTTGAGCACCGATTCCAAGAGATTCGGCGCGATTCCGATCTTGAGACGGCTCCACGGGTCCTTACCGCCTCCCCCACGACTCCGCTACGTCGAGCACGTCGCCGTCCCCAGACCCCCGACGCCACGATTTCTGCACGTCGACCCCCGGAGATCTCGACCCACTCCCCGGGACGGGCTTCTTGTCCTGGGCCGTTTTGTTGACCGCCCCGAGGCCCGTGAAGGGCTCCCGGAGGCCGAAACTCAGGAGAACCTTCTGCTATAATTTGGTCTATTGCCCGAAGGGCTCGAGGCGCCGGCGCGTCGCTGCGACGGCGTCGAGGCGTCGAGGCGTCGAGGCGGCGACGCGTCGCGGCGACGGCGGCGCCCTTTGGCCCGCCGCGGCGGCGCCCTTCGGGCCGCCAGGAGGGCCGCGGCGGCGGCGGCGCGCGGGCGAGCCGGCAGCAGCCGCCCGAGGACCCCGAGGCGCGCGCCTCACGCGGCGATCGCGCACGCGCGGCGCGCGCGCGCCCGCGCTTGGGGCGTACTCCTCCTCCTCCTCCTCCTCCTCCTCCTCCTCCTCCTCCTCCTCTCCTCCTCCTCCTCCTCCTCCTCCTCCTCCTCCTCCTCCTCCTCCTCCCCTCCTCCTTCTCGTCCATCTCCTCCTCCGTCTCCTCCTCCTCCTCCGTCTGCTCCTCCCCTCCTCCTCCTCCTCCTCTCTCCTCCTCCTCCTCCTCCTCCTCCTCCTCTGCCCTCTTCCCTCTCCTCCTCCTTCTCCTCCTCCTCCTCCTCCTCCTCCTCCTCCTCATCCTTTGGCCTGGGTGAAATATTCATCGAGGGGCTGGCGACTAACCTTTCGACGGAGCTTGCCCATCCCCCCCTCCACCGCTTTTACGTTAGCCCGACTTAAGGATCTAGCATGTAGCGTTCTCCCTCCTCCATTTCCACCTCCTCCTCCTCCTCCTCCTCCTCCTGCTCCCTCCTCTCCTCCTCCTCCTCCTCCTCCTTCTCCTCCTCCTCCTCCTCCTCCTCCTCCTCCTCCTCCTCTTCCTCATCCTCATCCTCCTCCCCCTCCTCATGCTCCTCTCCTCCTCCTCCTCCGCCTCCTCCTCCAACCCCTCTGCATCCGTGCCGACAGCACGTGCCCAACCCCCCCGCGGATCCAAGGGGGGAGCGATTATTGCCCCGTCCAGGGTACCCTCGGTCACGCCAAGAGGATCGGAGGAAGAAAAGGTACCGATACCGCTGCCCTGCGCCCGTTTTCCTCTTTTTCGGCCTCCTGGGCGCCCCTCGAGGGCGCGGAGGTCTTCGCGCTTCGCGCTTCGGCTGCGGTGCCTCCTCTCCCTCTGCGTCTCTCCTTGGGGGGGTGGCGCAAGAGCGCGAAGTTCTTCGCGCGCTGCGCTTCTCGCAGCGCGAAGCGCGAAGTTAGGAGCCCTGCGTCGGGGCTCAAGTGACGGGGGGCGATGCGGACGGGGGTCCGCCAGCGCGCCAGCCTTTGCGGACCCCATCTGCACGAGATTGCGCTCCGCAAGATGTGTGAAGCGTTCCGCACTCGGTTGACCAGGTGCGATAAGCACCCGTGCGTCCAGACGGGCTGATGGTAATGATTGCGGTGGCGGTGGTGATGACCGTCATACAGTCATACCGAATAGTAAGGATGGGTAACCTTCCCATGGGTACCCTTGCATCCTTGCCTCCTCGGCCCATCCTTCGCCACTTCTGTAGGCCGCGACCCGCTCGAACAGCCTCGAAATGGGCGTCCAAGGCCCTTTTCAGCCTTATCGCGCATCCTCACTACACTCGTTGACTGCAGTGGCGACGAGGAGCCTGGCCGACGCGGGTTTGCACTGACCCCGGACGGATTGCGTCCCCGGCGGCGGCGGCGGCGGCGGCAGCTCCCCCACCGTCCTCGGCCACGCGCGGAGGCCGCCACGGAGGAGGCGGGTCCCTAGGGCAACGGGTCCCGAGGGCTGTCGCCGTCGGCGGGCTCCCGGGGCCCTCCCAGGGGCCCCGGGGCTGGCAGGGAGCGGCTCCGGACGTGAAGAGTGTCGGGCCGAACGGAAGGGGGGGATGATAGGGGAAGGGGGGGTTCCCAGACCCCCTCGAGCAATGAAAAAATCATGACGGGACGTTTTTCGTAATTTTCGGCCTCCGGGGGCCCTCACCGGGCCTCGGGAGCGTCAAAAAACGACTCAGGACGAGGAACCGGTCATGGGGAAAGGGTCGGGACCTCTGGGGGTCGACGTAATGAAAAAATCATTTCGTCGGGGGTCTGGGTTACGACATCTGCTGCATGTGCAGCTGGTTTCGGCCCCGCCGCCGGGCCCATTCCTCGATACATGGGCGCCTTCTGGCGCCGGGAGGCGCCGGGAAAATCAGTTGCGTGAGCTGATTCTCAAGCCCCCCCTGTGCTATCCCCCCCTTTCGCCCGGCCCGAGAGTGCCCAGGGGAAGGCCTCCTCCTCCTCCTCCTTCTCCTCTTCCTCCCCCTCCTCCTCGCCGTTGGCGACCTCCTCCTCCTCCTCCTCCTCCTCCTCCTCCTCCTCCCGGACCCAGGGGAAGGCCCCAGGCTCCAGGGCCCGCTTCCCTCGGGACCCTTCTCCCCCAGGCTGCAGAGGGTGGCAGGCGAAGGGGGGGCGGAGCTTCCTCGGAGCGCCCTGCTTCTCGGGAGGCGCGGGCCTCGTCTGCAGCTGCAGTGGGGGCCCTTGCCAAGAAGCACCCTGCTTGCCTCCAGGGTGCCCTGGGCTTCTTGGGTTTCGAGTGTGTTGCTATGGAAGCGTGACGATCCCGTACCAAAAACCAGTGGACGTGCTGGGGTCTCAGGGTTGGGTTTCTTGTGGACGGTTTCTTGTGGTCGAGCCACTGCTGTTCAAGCAGCGGCGAGGCGTCCTGGCTCGCCTATAGCCACACCAAACAATGTTCTAAGAACCTTTTGTGGTTTCCACGACATGTTCTTAGAACATTTCTGGCTGGGACTGTCTTGTTTTAACGCATCGGGCTCATGTTCTAAGAACAGAGTTTTGGTTCTTAGAACATTTTTGGGTTCTAAGAACCTTTCGTGGTATGACTATAGGAATGCCGGGACGGTCGGTCCCTGCTCAAGTTGTAGGTGTGAGGCGAGCGCCTTCTGAGAAGCAGCCTCCTCCCAACAAGCCTTCCCCCCTGGAGCGCGTCTCCACAGTCCCCAGACGTGCTCGAGTCCTGAAAGCAGGACGGGAGGTTTCTCGCCGTTTTCGGCCCCTGGGGGCCCTCACCGGGCTCTCGGAGGGGCCACACAAATGACTCAGGATGAAGAGCCGGTCCGGGGGAAAGGGTCTGGACCTCGGGGACCCCGCACCGACAGAGTGAGGGCATCGCATGTCTGGGAAACCTTGAGACGTTGACGTCGCCTTTTGTTCTAGAAAAAACGACAGATGACAAAGGGGCTATCGTTGCCTTGTTGTGGGCCGCGGGGCTCTCAGGTCGATGCGGCTTGAAGAATGCAGCAGCGGGATGGCTCTTTGGCCGCCTTGGGCCTTCTTGAGGCCATCTTGGGCAATCTTGAGTTCATACTGGGCCGTTTTTGGAAACATCTTGAATCAGTGTTTGGTTTTCTTGGGAGGCACGGTGCGGTTTTCACCGTGGTCGCGCGCGCGCGTCTGCCCATACATCGGAGAGCTCCTGCTTTTTAAGGGAGCTGCTGCGCCAGCCGCGCAGGTCTCAACATTCGGGCGGCCTGTGCGGTCGCGGCTGGCGGTTGTCGGGCGCTGGTTGTCTGTGTCAGCGGTCTGCTGTCGATGTTTTTTCTCCTGACTCGTCATCGCCGCTTTCGTCGTCGCCGAGAACAGAGACGACGACGACGACGACGACGACGACGACGACGACGACGACGACGACGACGACGACGACGACGAGTAGGAGGAGGCGGAGGGCTACAGGAGAAGAGGGGAGGCTTCATTTCGTACACTTCTGGGGGGAGGAGGAGAGGAGGGCTCAAGGCTACGTCGAGACACTGGGCGCGGCTGAAATTTTGTTTTTTCGCCCGGAGTGTGGTTGCTTTGGTTGCCCGTGGTGTTCTTGGTTCAGCCGATCCTGGAATTCCCGCTTTGGGCCGTCAATTCTTTTTTCACCCGACTAAAATTCGGGTTTGGCCTTTGCAATTTTCGGTTTCGCCCCGAAGAATTCCGGGGTTCGTTTGCCGACCTCTTGGGACCATCGGGGGCTCATGATTATGACCCCCCCGTGGGAAACCGAGAAGGGATTTTGTGGGGCGCTCTTGGGAACGTCTCGGAGCTTTTTGGGGCCCCTCTTGCGCCTGTCTGCTTACGCCATCTTCGCGCTATTCTGAGGCCTCAGAAGCCAATCGGGAGGCATGTTGGGGAGTAGATTGAGCCATGATGGGAAATACTAAGCCATCTTGGAGGCAACCTTAGCCTTACGGGGCCATCTAGAAACGATGTTGTGCCATGTTGGACTATCCAACCCCTCGCAGGGGGGAGGATTCCCGACCCAGGGAGAGGGGGCAGAGGAAGAGGTCAAGCTACCCACAAGGTGCAAGCCGTCTTGCTCATTCCCACTCATCCTTCCAGCACACAAGTAGCACCCGAGTCTCAGCGTTGACGTGGGCCACCATGAACAACCATCGGGAACCAATGCGGACGCCAGCCAGGTGCGCCAAATTGGGTAAGATGGCGACTTCACATGACAAATAAACCACTACGACGTGATGGCGGGTTTGCGAGCGCTGCTGGCTGTGAGCACGCGTGCACCTGCAATCGCGTTGCATTTGTTTTTGGCGGGTTTGCGAGCACTGCTGGCTGTGAGCATGCGTGCACCTGCAATCGCGTTGCAGTTGTTTTCGACGGGGATGGTCCCGCGCAGGTCAGGCAGTATGCCGCCCGCCCGCCGTTCCTGGCACCGTGACCTGTTGGTTTTTACTATGTTGAAAAGGGGCCGTGGGCCTGCATCCAACAGACAATACTACGCCGCCCCACCCCCACCCCGCTATCCTTCTCAAAGCAGGTGCAGCATGAGCGCGGGGGCTTGCAGTGGAAGGCGGGGGATGCTGACACTGCACACAGCAGGCAACATGCTGGCCCCCCCGCCATCCCTGTCAACAACGACCGCAAGGTAATCGGAGGGCGTCCGCGCATGATCGCCGATTTGCTTCAATTTGCACTCTGTATTCTTGTTTGCTCGGGATGGTGTGTGGGGGGGGGGGGTGGCATGGCACACAGCAGGCAATTTGACTGCACCCCGTCGTCCCAGTCAAGAACCAATGCAAAGTGATCGCGGGGCGTCCGCGCATGACCCAGTCTTTTGTGCAACTGGTTAATTCTGTCTAGTGTCTGTTACTAGGGATGGTTTGAGGGGCGCATGGTCCCAGGCTTGTCGCCGGTCGGGAGGAGGAGGGGGTGTATATCAATATTCGGGCCGGACGAAAGGGGGGGATTGGGAAAGGGGGGGTTACGAAATTTGCTGCATGCAGCTGGTTTCGGCCTCACCGAGGGGCCCATTCCTCGATACATGGCCGCCTCCGGCGCCGGGAGGCGCCGGGAAAATCAGCTACGTGAGCTGATTCTCAAACCCCCCCTTTGCTATCCCCCCCTTTCGCCCGACCCGAAATACACGCCGGTCGCTGAAAGTATGTATTTTTGGACTCCCAGACCCCAATCTGCTTCAAGCGCCTTCCTACTTCAAGAATCGGCGCGCTCTTGCTGTGTTTTGTGATTCCCTGGGGGGGCCTGGACCCAATCAACTTAATCCGCCTTCCTACTTCATGTTTTTACCTACTTCCTCCGACCGACGTGTAACGAACAGTGATGGGACTCCCCGCATCAGAAGAGGGAGGCTGGGAGTGGGAGGAACGAGCTCTCGAGACCGCCCACGCGCAGGGGGGCAGAGGCGGCAGGGCAGAGGCGGCAGGAGGGAGCGGGGAGGAAGGAAGGGAGGAGCTCCGACGTCGTGATTTGTTCAATGAGGAGCAGGGGGGCGGAGCGAGCGCGAGCGGGATGATCCCAGAGCTCCGTCGTCGTGATTTGTTCAAGAGGTGGACCCCCTGAGGTTTGGACCCATCCCTTGCATCCTCGGCCGTTGTGGCGAGGGCCACCAGAAACCGAGCATTTCTGATAACTGTCCGTTGTGCTTTTTTTCGCAGCGAGGGGAGGCGGGGGGGGGGAGCGGGTGGGGGGAGCAGGAGGGGAGCGGGGTGGAGGAGGGGAGGAGGCATGGCGTCTACTGGCCTTCGGCCCAACCCGCCACCGTGCCTGGATTTTGAGTCCGAGTCCTTCCAGATGCCCCTTGGGGTCTCTTGGGATGCCCCTCGGGAGCCTCTTGGAGGCAACCTCTTGGGGGCCGTTTGGCGCGTCTTTCAGGCCTGTTGGGGCCTTCCTGGGGCCTCTTGGGGGCCTCTATAGCAAGCGGTCTCGGGGGCCCTCTGGGGACAGAGGGATCGAAAATGGCAGTTCGTGTTTCCCTCTTTGGGCCCCTCTTGGGGCGTTTCTGGGGCCCTCTGGGGAGGGAGGGGGGACGCATGGCCTACTGGAGGCCCCCAGCAGTGGCTTGCGCGCGTGGATCTGCCCATCCTGCGACCCCCTTCAGCCGCGCACCAAAGGTCACCCTTGCCTAGGGCCACTTCTTACCTGTAAATCCAGAGGGAGGGAGAGGGAGGGCGGAGGGAGGGCGCGCGGGAGGGAGCGAGGATGCGTGGCACACTGTGGAGGAGGGGTGGATCAGGAGGGAGCAGGGACACACACACAGACGCAAGCAATCGTCGATTGCCAGGAACCTATCCGAGCACACGGGAAGTGGAGGGCAAGACGAAGGCGAAGATGTGGACCCCTGGGAGTGGTGCCCCTTCCTTTGTGTGTCCCCCCGCCTCCTCCTCCTGATCCTGCTCCTCCCTCCTCCTCCTCCTCCTCCTCCTCCTCCTCCTCCTCCTCCTCCTCCTCCTCCTCCTCCTCCTCGCGCATGGCCATCGGGCGCCTCCCTGGGCCCCTTCAGCGGCGCCCCCCTCCCCTCCCCCACCCGCGGGAGAGGCCGCCAGCGGCTGGCGCGACGACGCCAGGCGCGCGCAGCAACCCAGCAGGCAGCGCGACGAGGCGTCCCCCCCCCCCCTGGGGGGACCCGCCCCTCGTGTCTGTCGGGAGGGGGAGGGGGAGGGGGAGGAGGAGGAGGAGGAGGAGGAGGAGGAGGAGGAGGAGGCGGAGGGAGGAGGAGGAGGAGGAGGCGGAGGAGGGAGGAGGAGCAGGAGCAGGAGCAGGAGGACCAGGAGGACCAGGAGGAGCAGGAGGAGGAGGAGGAGGAGGAGGAGGAGGAGGAGGAGGAGGAGGGTGGGTCAGTGCCAACGGGGGTCAGCCAGAGTGCGGGAATCTTGCAGGGTCCAGCAGGGCCAGGGGCGCATGGACCTTGGTCTGGCCGCAGGATCCTGCAGGATCCTGCATGCCTGTCTGACCAGGGTTTGGATGGACCCATCCATGTCAGTAGATCCCCGATCGGTTGTGGACATGTGAGGCAAGGGGGTGCCTTGAATTCACCAGCGATTCACCAAACAAGTACGCACGCATACGCTGTTGGCGGTCCTAGCAAGTTTCCTGGATCTGCGCTGGGACCCTCTGGCGGCGCCTCCGGCGCCGCCCTTGGCGTTCTGCGCGCGGCAGGGAGGGGGGCACTGCTTAGTTTCAAGAAGTCCGCGCGGATCGTCAAATAATTATGTGTATGCAGTTGTTTGTTTCCCTAGCTGCAGTCCACTCTTGTTGAAATTGACGGCAATGGGAGTGGCCTGGCTTCTTCGATGATGCTCTAGGTCTCCCAGATGAGGTCCAAGTAGATGGGGTCGGAGGATCTCGCCGCATCGCCTGTGCATCGCCGATGAATCGCCGATACCGCGTGGATCCGACGTACATCGGGTCTCACGTTGCCGGGCGAGGCCTCCGGGCATGTCTTCGGAAGGGGAGAGTTCAAGAGCGAAAGAAGGACGTACATGTACATGAATCCACGCTGGTTTCGAGAGTTCGCATTGCGCGAATGCTCGTATCGCGCGGCAGGTCTCGCGGGTCAAGGGGCCGTGTTCATGTACATAGCTGGGCGCGTACGTCCTTTGTGGGCTCCCTGAAGAGGAGGGGGGAAGCAGGCAGGCGACGGTGAGACGGCGAACGCGCCGGCGGGAGGCCCGGGCCGGCGGGGCGGGCGGGCGGGCAGTGCCGGCGGCGGGGTTCTGTTCCGGGGTGTTGCTGGCATCGGCGGCGAGCGTTAAGTCGGGCCTGTCCCCCTACAGGGGGATTTACGACGAAAAACAAAAAATACACCAAAATAGACAACAAATAGTAAAACAATAGTCTGGGGACTACTTTGTGAGTATTTTGTTGACCTTCTTGGGGTATTCTGGTGGTATTTTTTTGTCGAAAATCCTCCTGTAGGGGGACACGCCCGACTTAAGGCGAGCAAGGGGGGGAGATGAGAAGGAGAAGGCCTTCTCAGAAGGCGGCGGGACTTATCAACTTCTCAGAAGCCCTGACGCCTTCTGAGAGGTGTTGTCTGTCTTCGGGGAGGGCTTCTGAGCCTTCTGAGAAGGTCTTCTCCTGCTCACTTCCCCCCCTCGCTCGCCGCCAACAGAAGTGCCAAGTGCTTCTGGCCCGAGGTGCCCCCAGATTTTCGCTGCATCTTGGAGCCCCTGGGGCCTTCGGGGCCTCGCGAGGGGTGCTCTGGAGGAAGCCTGGGCCCCTGGAGAATCCTAGGGTCGCCTTGGGTCAAGCAGTGGCGAAGCGTCCTGGCTCGCCTATAGGCCCACCAAAGAATGTTGAAACAACCTTTTGTGGTCTGTACGAAATGTTCTCAGAACATTTCTGACTGATACTGCCTGGGGTATGTTCTAAGAACATCGATTTTGTTATTAGAACACTTCGGGGTTCTACAAGCATGTCGTCATAGGCCTATAGAGAGAGATGCCGGGACGGTCGGTCCCTGCCCAATTGGGCCAGGGACACCTCTGGCAACACCGGGCTTTCTTTCGGTGGGGAGGTCGGGGGATGGATGGAGGGGGGAGATCGGGGATGCGGATGGATGATCGAGCAGGGTCGAGGGCCGAGAGTGGTGGGATCGAGCAGGACTGAGGATGGAGGATCGGCAAAGGCGTGCTTTTCTTTCCCCGTCGGCAGACCAAACGCTGCATAAACATCACGCCTCGGAGCTCCGCGCGGAGTTCTCGGATCGGCCTCCGGCGCCGCCCCTGGCGCGCTTTCTGCTCCTCCTCCTCCTCCTCCTCCTCCTCCTCCTCCTCCTCCTCCTCCTCCTCCCTCCTCCTCCTCCTCCCCCCCTCCTCCTCCTCCTCCTCCTCCTCCTCCTCCTCCTCCTCCTCCTCCTCCTCCTCCTCCTCGAGGGGGGGGTCAGCGCCGATCCAAGCGGGCCGCGCTGCGGACCTCCGAGACGTCATGTCTGTGCCGCGTGTTGTTCCTCCTATTCCGGGGGGGGGGGGGGAAATCGGGGACGAGGGTGGAGGATCGAACAGGATCGATCGGGATCGAGGATCGAGGGAGGGAGGTCGAGGGCCGATGAGGGCCGAGGTCTTGGGGTGGAGGAGGAGGAGGGGGAGGAGGATAATGACGAGGAGGAGGAGGACGAGGAGGAGAGAGGAGAGAGGAGAGGCGAATCAAAGTCTGGCATGCTTGGGCCTCGGGTGGGGTGGGGTGGGGAACGAGGAGGGGAGCAGAGTGAGAGCAGCGGGGAGGGGTGGGGATGGAAATGATGGTGGGGGGCCCAGACATGCGATGCCATGATCGTTGTTGTCGAGTGCGGGTCCCTGGAAGCCCCCGACCCGTTCCCCAGGGCCCCAGGGACAGCCTCTCATTCTCAGTAGTTCTGTTTCTGCTCCCGGGAACCTGCCCGCCCTGAGTGGTACACGACGCGAGCACGTCTGGGGGGAGGGAGGAGGGCGAGGAGCAGGATTCGTAGAGGAGGAGGAGGGCGAGGAGGGGGAGGAGGGCGAGGATTCGCAGAGGAGGGGCGAGGAGGAGGAGGAGGATCCCTGGGGAGGAGGAGGCGGCGAGCATCGCAGAGCCTCGGCGGTGTCCCAGGTCCCCCGCCCGGGGCGGGGAGAGGGCGCGCGTCCGCACCCCGCGGCGAGCTGGGCGAAGGGAGGTCTCCAGAGCCAGGATGAAGTCGGGCGTGTCCCTCTACAGGAGGAATGCTCAAACACAGTCAAAAAATAGTCTGGGGACGATCCTTGACAGTTTTTCTGACCATTTTGGTATATTTTTTGCCCATTTTCAATGCTTCCTCCAAAATCGGCCTGTAGGAGGACATGCCCGACCTCGAGCTAGGATGTTCTGGTAGGCGCCGGGTCATTCTTCGAAGGCTTGACGGCTTTTCGCCAATCGACTTGCGGGGGTCGAGCAAGATACGACAAAAGCAGACAAATCGAGAGGGATGCATCCAGGTAGATCGTAGTAGATCCAAGTTAATCCAGAGATCTCCAGGGAAAGTTGGAACAAATCGTGGCCGATCCAGCGCGAGTCGAGGGATCACATAAGTGATTCATCCGTTAACGAGTCATGTTGGGATCGTCTGGAGTCCATTGGAGGTCTCAGAAGGATCATGCTGGGAAGTCTGATGCTTGTCACTGGCTCTGGGATCAGGGAAAGCCTCCCTTGTCCGTGTGAGCTCCTCCTTTAGAGGGCAAGTCTCCCATTTCCAGGCAAGCCTCCATTTCCGGGTAAGCCTCCCCTTTCAGGGTAAGTTTCCCCTTTCCGGGCAAGCCCCAAACCGCAATGCCGCCCCAAATTGGTTGCCGCCGCTCTCTGTGATATGGACGTTGGCCGCCGCGGCTAGTTACCTGGTGCGAGGCTCGCTGGCGAGAGCTTCACGCGACCGCGCGCGCGACTTTCTCTTTGCTGGGTTAGCTCCACGGATAACCAGCAATGGCGTACAGGTGCGGTAATCGTAGGTGCCAGAGGACATGAGAATGATGCGTTCCAAGATTTCCAGGATGTCCTAGATTTCCTCATGTTCCACGGGGGCTGCAGCGACGAGGGCCGCTAGATATCGAGATATTCTTGGACATCCTGAACCGCATCCTCAGCCAATCTTATCATACCATGATTTCCGCCGTCCTGGGTAAGGTTCCGCCCCTCGACCTCTCGATGATCGGTGGTGGTCATGGTGGCGGAGAGGAGGATCAGACCCAGCTGAGAGATCAGAGGGATACGACCAAATACATGGCATGGAAGAGCTACACATGCGAACGGTCTTTCGGCTTGCCGTTTCCCGTATCCCCCCATATTTCTGCCCAGATTCCGTTCAGTTGACAACCGTTAGGAGCGCGTCGAACTCGGTACCACCAGGAAATGAGGCTGACAACCACCAGGATCGAAGTCTGTACCAAGTTCGACGCGCTCCTACTCTCGAAGAGCAAAAGCGATATGAACATGATTTCTCGGAGGTCTGCGTGGACTTCTTGGATCGGCTCTGGGCACAGCTCCATGGCGCGCAGAGCGCGCCAAGGGCGGCGCCAGATGCGCCGCCAGAGGTGCCCAACGCCGGTCCAAGAAATCCTCGCGGACATCCGAGACATTTCGTTTATGCCATTGCTAGATGCCAAATTCATGGCGCATATGCGTCCTGTGTTTCGCGACCCGTGCTTTCTACATTCCCATGGTAGTGTGGCCTGTTGAAGGGTCTTGTGTTCGAGCATTGGCGAAGCGTCCTGGCTTGCCTACAGGCCCACCAAAATATGTTCTGAGAGGCCGTGGAGGTTTGCGCGGAATGGTCTACCACCTTGCTGGCTGGGACCCGTGTGTTTTCACACATTGGTTTTCTGCTCTGATGCTCTCGTTTGTCCAATATATCTTCTGCTCTACAAACCTGTCGCGGTAGGCCTATAGGAATGCCCGGACGCTCGGTCCCTGCTCAGTGCGTCCTCTCGCGCGGCTCCTCCAGCCAGCTCCAATCGCCGAGCCAAGGGCCCCCTGGTGCCCTGTGTGTTCCGCGACCCGTGCCTTGGTCGCTCCCGCGGCAGTGCGGCCCTCGGCCGGGCCTCGGCACTGCGACCCGCGGCAGCGCGGCCCTCGGCAGGGCCTCGTGCCTTCTCGCCGGCGCCCTCTCCGGGCACTCGGACCAAGGAGGCCCCGACCTCTGCCCCGGGGGCCCGCTCCTCCGAGTCGCCTGCGTGCGCGGTCCCGAGGCTCCCCCCGAGGCCGAAATTGGAGAGCAGAGCCTCCCGCCGCGAGGTTTTGCCACTACGCGCTGGGGGTCGAGCGCGACGACGACGACGGCGACGGCGACGACGGCGCCCGCCACGACGACTGCGCTCACGACGATGACGACGATGAAGACGACGACGACGACGAGCTTTGTACAGAGGGGCCCCTTGGCCCCCCCCCGCGCGCCTGGGCTGGACCTAAAGATTGCCTCGCGGGACGTCGGCTGTGTTTTGTTTTCGGCAGGCACGTGCAGTGAAGCAGGCGGGGCAAACCGAACGACAAGACGAAAACAACACGGAGCAACAAAACCTTCAGGCCCCCCCCTCCTCCTGCTCCTCCTCCTGCTCCTCCTCCTCCTGCTCCGCTCCTCCTCCTGCTCCTGCTCCTGCTCCTGCTCCTGCTCCTCTCCTCCTCTCCTCCTCCTCCTCCTCCTCCTCCTCCTCCTCCTCCTCCTCCTCCTCTCCCGCCCCCGCACGACCCCCCCCCCCCCCCGCGCTCGCGCGCCTCGCCCCCCGAGGGCGACGGCGGGAGCGGCGACTGGCGGTCCGAGGCCGCGCGGGCCCAGCGCGAGGCCACCGCTCCGGGGGGGGGCCCGGCCGGGGGCGCCCCCGCCGCGGCGGCGAGGGGAAGGGGCTCCTCCTCGGACGGGGCCAGGGCGAGGATGCAGTCGGGTTCGAGGAGGAGGAGGAGGAGGAGGAGGAGGAAGAGGAGGAGGAATAGGATAGGAGGAGGAGGAGGAGGAGGAGGAGAGGGGGAGGATAGGAATAGGAATAGGAGAGGAGGAGGAGGAGGAGGAGACGAGGAGGAGGAGGAGGAGGAGGAGGAGGAAGGAGGAGGAGGAGGAGGAGGACGAGGAGGAGGAGGAGGAGGAGGAGGAGGAGGAGTACAAGGGTACAAGGGCGCGGTCCTCGTTCCTTCTCCCCCTCCTCCTCGGCCTCCTGTTCTCCCCTTGGTTGGGGGCGGCGCGAGAGCGCGAGGTTATTCGCGCTTCGCGGAGCGCGAGAGAGCGAAACTGTGAGCCCTAGGAGTAGCCTGTCGACCCTGCCCAAACACGGGTTGCCTTTGTCCTGTGTTTCGCGGCCCTTGCCCTCCACATGTCAGTGGCAGCGTGGCCATCGGAGGGGTCCTGTGTCCTCTGGCGCGTCCTCTCCAATCCATCCCGACCGTACGTCCGCCCCAGAGCGTGGCCAAGATGGACGAGGATAAATCCTCCCTCCTCCCGGAGGAGGTGGCCCAGGCGCCCCCCCTCCCGAGGGTGCGGCGGCGAGCGAGGGGCTTTCCTCCCCGGACGGGACTGGGACGAGGATCCAATCCGCTCCATCGCTGAGTTCGCCGATACACCATTGAGCTCCCCAGTCCGGCCGAACCCCTTGCATTGCCCAGTGGTCCGTGCGGGCGCACCGGACAATCCCTGGCGTGCCTGGCCTGTCGCACGGTTGTCCAATTCTGGGGCAACTGGAGCCCTGCGAGATGTTGCCGCTTATGGTTTCACGCTGCGATGCCGCCGCGCGGTTGGCAGCGTGGAAGGCGCAGACTGGAGCGCAGAGTGCCGCGACTCTGGCGAGAAGTCGCCCGTCGATAATGTCAGACGAAGCTCTCACTGCGGTCTTCTGCCAGACGCGTTCGGAGGCAGTGATCCGGCAGAAAGCTTACGTACTGGGTGCGCAGGTCGCCCCAGGCTTCCCGCGGAGGCCCAGGCAGGGCCGAACACGATCTGATTCGATGCGATTCGATGTGCTTGCTGGGGCCGAGATCCCGCTTCGATTCGACTGAGTTCGATGGACCGGCATCGGCCAGGCCCAGCCGGACCTGTGCGCGGCGATCCGATGTCGATTCGCCGCGGGTTTCCAGCGGGTGATCCGAGCCGTTGCCGATCCGATCCGATTTCGCGATTCGATCCAGCTCAGGTCTGCCCGGTAGCCTTCCCAGCGTCATGATTTTGTCATAATTACCGTCGATTCCTGGAGGTCTCGAGCCATCCCTCGGCACCGAACCGTTTCTCCTCCCGAGGGCCGGCAAGGGCCCCCAGACGCCGGAAACCGCGAGACACTTCCCGCCGTTATTTTTTTGTCAAGACCCGAGGGGGTCTGTTTGGACGCCCGAAATGGGTACGGAAAGAATGAGTACACTGCCCAACAACAAATGTTGCCCCAAACCAAAAGCGGCCGCTGTTGGGCAGGCGGCCTTCTGTCTCGAATGGACACAAGCCGCGGCGGGGTGGACAGCGAGCCCTGTCCAAAATGAGCAGGAACTGCTGTTGGGCAATGCACCCATTCTTTCCGTACCCATTTTGGGCGTCCAGAGCCTGGGTTCGGAGCACCCCTCACGCGAGGCCCACATGGCCCCAGAGGCCTCGCAGTGGCGCGGACGGGCGGGAGCACCCTCGGCCCGGGCCATTTCTAGCAGCCTTCCAGGGCCGTGCGCCTCGCACCGCCTCGACCCCGGGGGGGGAGGATCGAGGCTCGAGGATCGAGGCTCGAGGCGGAAGGATCGAGGGTTCGAGGAGGGTCGAGGTGCCAGGGTCGAGGGGCGAGGATCGGATCCAGGGTCGAGGTTCGAGGATTCGAGGATCGAGGGTCGATGGTTCGAGAGTCGAGGGTCGTGGGTTCGAGGAGGATCGAGGGTCGAGGAGGATCGGATCAGGGATCGAGGATCGAGGGTTCGAGGATCGAGGGTCGAGGGTTCGAGGAGGGTCGAGTCTCGAGGATGATCGGCTCGGGGTTGAGGTTCGAGGTTTGAGGTTTCGAGGATGGAGGGTCGAAGGTTCGAGAATCGAGGGTCGTAGGGTTTGAGGAGAATCAAGGTTCGAGGAGGATCGAGGGTCGAGGTTCGAGGGTTCGAGGATCGATGGTTCGAGGGTCGAGGAGGAGAGCCGTGGATCGAGGATAGAGGGTAGAGGTTTCCCCGCGTCTCCGGTCCTTCTTGGGCGTCGGGGGGAGATCGGCGTCTCCACGGCAGGATTCGCTTCGAAGTTCTAGTCGCTGCGCACCCCTAGACAGTGGGGGTGATGCGGCAGGTTGGGGTTCAGGGTTTCGCTCGGGGGTTAGGGTTAGGGATCAGATGTCTGGCGAAGGCTGGGGCAAGGGTTAGGGATTAGTGGAGTGAAGGTGCAGGGGTAGGGGTAGGGCTCCAGAGCAAAAGCGCGAGAAGGAGTCGGGGTTGCACACTCCTTTTTTGGGAAGGGGGCCGGGGGGTTGAGGTCCTGGACGATGGATCGATCGGCCAGGGGGGGGGGCGTGTCCCCGCGCCAAGGAGGAGGTCCAGCGCCGATCCAAGCGCAATCCGCGCTGAGCTCCAAGAGCTCATGCTTCTGCCTTTTTTTTGTTTGCTTTTCGTTTGTTTGTTGTCTCTCTCTCTCTCTCTCCCTCACGCCGACTTTTTGTTGCCCCATGCCGCGGGAGGAGCAGGAGGAGTCAGGGGGGAGGAGCCCCCCCGGGGGGCCGCGGCGGCCGTCGGAGAGATCCCGCGCCTCGCGCCGCCGGGAAGGGCAGGCACACCACGGGAGGGGCTCCCGCCGCGGCCCCCCGCGCCCGCCCGCCCCGAGGCGCGGAAGCAGGCGCCCGCCGCCGGCGGCAGGGACGCGCGAGGCGCGGCGGCCCCGCATCGCGCGCCCTCCCTTCTCGCCTCGAGGGGATCGGTTGGCAGCGGCAGGGGGGGGGGGATGGGCACCACCGCAGAGGGTCTCGGATGATGCACCCCCCTCCCCCCTAAGCTCTCGGCGGGGGATCGAAGCTCGTCCCTCCTCCTCCTCCTCCTCCTTCCCCTCCCTCCTCCTCCCCCTCCCCTCCCCCTCCCCCTCCCCCTCCTCCTCCTCCTCCTCCTCCTCCTCCTCTCCTCCTCCTTCTCCGCCTCCTCCTCCTCCTCCTCCTCCTCCTCCTCCTCCTCCTCCTCCTCCTCCTCCCCCTGAAGGATGGGATTTTTGAGCACTTCTCATGACCTCTCATGCATCCGCCGACGAGAATTACTTAATTTCCAACTATTGTCGGGGTCCCAATGTGTCAATAAGCCGGCGGACAAAATGTCCCCTTATTGCCTGGGGGTTTATTGACGACCCTTTGGGGTTCGGAGGAGGGACGCATCGAGCCCCGGTCGCCCACTGATCGCCGATAGGGAGCCGATCGCTTTCCCACCCTCCCAGAAAGGTGCCGATTCACTACCGTGGGCCTGTGGCCGATCTGTCGTCGACGTATCGCCGATGCCAGGTCCGTGCATCCCCCCTCGTGCCCATCCCCCCCCCCCCGATCGCTGCCCCGCAGGGGAGGAGCAGGCAGACGCGCACGCTCTCTGTCGTCGGCCTGCTTCCCCCCTCCCCTGCGGTTGCACAGGCAACGGCAGAAACACAAAACCTCGGGGGCCCGCGCCGATTCCTCGGATCGGCGCTGGGGCCCATTGACGGCGCCTCCGGCGCCGCCGGGGGCCAAGCGTTGCTCCTCCAGCTCCCTCCGCCGGACAGCACAGCCTGCCCAGGACCAGCGTGGCGGCGCCTGGGGCTATCTCTTGGGTTCTTGTCCGCTGTCCTTTCCTGGGCCGTCGCAGCCGTGTTGGAGGGTGGATCGCAGCATCGTTGGTGATTTATCAGAGGCCTCCCACATGGGGTCGGAGTAGATGGGGTCGAAGGATCGCGCCGCATCGCTGAGGCCTTGGCGACACGGCTCGATATGGGACCCGATTTTTTCTATGCCGGCGTCGCCGACGCACCGCCGGCGTCGTCGATACATCGGCGATGTATCTGCGATGGGCGCGATTTTCCGAACACACGCGGACTTCATTAAAGAGGCCTTCTGTTCTCTCCTCTTCATCCCCTTTCCTCCCCGACGCTCGCCACCCCTCCCCCCCACAATCAGTGGATAATTTGAAAATGAATACTATGGATCTTGAGATCGATGATGAGATCGATAGTGGAATCGATAGTGAGGACCATTGTAAGGTCGATCGTGAGACCCAGAGTGAAATCGATTCAATGAGATCGATAGTGAGATCGATCGCGAGATCGCTCATGCGATCTGTAGTGAGATCGATTAGGAGATCGATGGTGAGATCGATAGAGAAGTGGGAAATTATATCGATGGTGAGACCGATCGATAAGAAGATCGACAAGGAACCCGGGAACCCGGGAACCTCGCCGCCCTCCGAAATCGGCCCGGAACCTGGAACCGGGAATCCGGGAACCCGGAACCGGGAACCCAGGAACCCAGCGTGCGACCAAAATCGGCAGGGCAGTTTCTTTCAACATCCGTGAGGACCCCTTCAGTGCAAGCACTGATTGGGGAATGTTTTCGCACGGCGTTTTCGCCCACCTCTCGGGCCTCTCAGGGCCATCACATATCGATCCGGCTCGGCAAGTGCCGCAGAAAGATGGGATCTAGGGAGTCGCGTTTTTTCGTGATGCAACAGGTTTCCTCGACGTCGGATCTCAGGGTCCCCCTTTTCCATCCCTCCTCGTCCTCCTCCCCCCACCGCCTCCTCATTCGTTTCCTCTTCCCTTTTCACCTCCTCGTCCTCCTCTTTGAAAGGACCTAAGCCGTGCAGTTGCTGCGTCCGTTGCTGTCCTCCTCTTCCTCCTCTCCTCCTCCTCCTCCTCCTCCTCCTCCTCCTCCTCCTCCTCCTCCTCCTCCTCTTCGTCCTCCCCTCTCCTCCGCCCTGTCCTCCTACCTCCTCTTTCTTGCGTATCCTGACCAGGCGTGCAAGTGCACGACCTCTTTGGCATTAAGCCAGGCCCAGACCGTCTTGTCCGTTACGGCGGCACTGGCATGAGTTCCCGAGGTATGCGTCTCTCTTCCCTCCCCTCTCCTCCTCACAGTACCGTCCTCGGAGCTGGCGATGCTGATTCGTCTAATCTCTTGGGCATACGTCGTTTTTTCATGAGTTTGACCTGGCACAGGCTCGGCCCGATCTAGACCTGCCGACATCCACGAGAGCGTCTTGGGGAGTCCACCACAGTATCCGCGGGGACAAGTTTGTTCTCTTTTGAGGTTCCTGGAAGATGTTGACGACGAGGGATCCCTGGTGTATGATACGCACAGAAGCAGCAGCAGCTACGTCGCCAGTTTAAAACAACAACATGTCGCTTCGAGCCATCCCTACCGCAACCTTCGGCGCCTGGCCTCCTCCTCCTGCTCCCTTCCTTTCCTCCCACCTCCATGATTCCTCCTCCCTCCCTCCTCCCCCTCCCTCCTCCTCCTCATCCCCTTTCTTCTCCTGCTCCTCTCCTCCTCCTCCTCCTCCTCCTTCTCCTCCTTCTCCTCCTTCTCCTCCCCCTCCTCCGTCGAACTCCCGAACGCTGCACTACCACTGCCCCGGCAACTGCCCCCCCCCCCCCCCGCCATAGCCAGCTTTCCCCAGCTGGCCCCGAGGGCGGCGTCGGGCGACGGGCACCCGCCCGCAGGGGGAGCCGCCGGCGCCATCGCCGATGCGTTCCCTCCTCCTTCTCCTCCTCCTCCTCCTCCTCTTCCTCCTCCTCCTCCTCCTCCTCCTCCTCCTCTTCCTCCTCATTCTCCTCCTCAAGCCCGATGTGTTGCTGTGCCCTGCGCTGTTCTGTCGTGCCATGCGCCTCCGGCGCCGCCCCTGGCGCGACTCCGCGCGCCGGGCAGCGGGGCCCAGCGCAGATCCAAGAAGTCCGCGCGGAGCGCCAGAGGTGTATGTTCAATGGCGTTGTGTCTTCTTCCAGTGATGCTCGGTCATGTTTTGTCATGCTCGTCGAAGGCGCGGCTGGCAGGATACTCGGGGGAAGCCTCGCTGGACCTTCGGAACTGGCGGCCGCGGTCAGCAGGGTGGGCTGTTCCGAAAATCCAACGACCCTTGTTTGTCGAGTTGGCCTCTCGCTCCAGAAAATCAGTTGGCCACTCAAAATGGAGTCCCGCTTGGGCTTCGAGACATCAGCCGAACCAGGAGTCCTTCATGTTCTTTTAGCGGGAAATTCTGTCACTGGCAAGGTGACGGAGATGCTTGAGGCGAGTATGAAGGTTGTCTCGGGAAGATCGGAAACGCTTCAGTTCGGTGAGGTCTTGAAAAGATGAATCCTAGCTCGTGCAACAGGTGTGGTCCTCTCCAGGGTCCACGAGGTCTCTGATCCAGTTGGGCCCTCCCTCGAGCTCACTCCAAGGTCAAACACAGAGTCCAGGCTGAGTCAGACGGCTCGGGCCCCTCCTCCTCCTCATGTGAAGGCCTGGGCCCCTCCCGATGTAAAGGCCTGCGCCTTACCGAGTGTAAACTGTGGAGGGGAAGCCCTCACGGAATGAGCCCCCAGTTGAGTAGGGCAGAGTTGTCGTTGGGGTGCAGCAGGTGTTGCGCCGCCACGTTGCACGGGTCCGCAGGGCGACACGTCTGTCCAGGACGTGTTGGGTTCCCCTTTGTGAGCTTGCCAAGCCCCTCCTCCTCCTTCTCCTCCTCCTCCTCCGTCGCTTCCTCCTTCTTCGTCTCCTCTTGCTCCTCCTCCTCCTCCTCCTCCTCCGTCGCTTCCTCCTCCTTCGTCTCGTCTTGCTCCTCCTCCTCCTCCTGCTCCTCCTCCTTCTCATCTTCCTCCTCCTCCTCCTCCTCCTCCGCCGCTTCGGAGCGCTCTTGTGTGCCCGCCATGCGCATCCATCCCACGAGGTGGTCGGGCCCGCCAGCTCTCTGTGCTCGGCCACGCGCGGAGCGGGCAGGGGGAGAGGGGGGACGGCCTCTCAGAAGCACCCCTGCCTCTTGGGCAGGCGCGGGGGCCTTGTCTGCAGGTGCAGGGCTGGCGCCTTCTGAGAAGCAGCCTCCGTCTAAGAGTCCTCCCCCCCTCCCCCGACCTCCTTGCGCGCGCCGCCAATATCCTACACGTGCAGATGTACATGTGGATGGTGGGTCTCATGCCACACGGTCTGCCCAGGGCCACTTCGAGGAGTGCATGTTCCCCCGGCTCACACAGGAGACGCGTGTCTGAAGACACTCAAGAGGGTGCAGCTTCACATCCCGGCCTCCCTCGGCTGGAGCACAGACCTCACTGATATTCTGCATGGTCATTTTCCTCCTCCTCGTCCTCCTTCTCCTCGAGGCCGGGGGATTGTGGAGCCCCTCGTCGTTTTCATACGGTTTTTATCGAGTGAAACGCTCTTTCGCCCTAGAACTCTGATTGTTTTTTGTCATGTTTCTTTTCGCCGTGATCCCCTCATACTAACATTTTCTCCTTATTTCGTTCTCTAGTGTTCTCTTTCTCTCTCTCTCTCTGTCTGTCTCTCTCTCCCTCTCTTTGTCTATATTCTGCACCAGGCCAGCGCATGGCTACATGTCAGAAGAGGCCGCCAAACATTTGGCCAACCAGCAATGGAAGGCGACAGACGCCGCCCCCGGAGCGGCGCTGCCACGCTCAAAGATAGTGCATCAGCTCTTGCCTTACAACACAGAGGATATTGCCTTGTCAGAGGCGCGAGCGGTGTTGACGAAATGCAGACGACGCAAGGCTCCTGGTCCTGATAACAACCCAATGGAAGCCTTGAACAAAACTTGGCGACAATCATTTGTCCAAAATTGTGGAGATGTTTAACGAGTGGTGGCGCTCTGAAGTCGTGCCTCCTGACGTAGCTCACGCACGCGTCGCAGTTATCTTTAAGAGGGAGACGCCGGC